AGACAGAGCGAAGGTCGGCCTGCCCAAAGTGCTCCGGCCCCAGTCAAAGACTCGCGCCGCGCTGTTGTGGGTGGGAGTGCCCAGCGAGACACGGGGACGAAAACGGCTGTCGGAACCAAACTGCAGGCAGTCCAACGCCTCGCTAGCGTGCATCCCAATAGCACCGCAATCGCCGAGTTGCATCGCGCGAGTAATAAACCCGCCAGTCGGCCCGGTACTTCGAAATAAATTAACAACAATCCCGGTATGACTATCGCACAGTGGTGTGGCAGGTGGCGGAGGGAATTCTAATTGTGCTCCAGCAAGAGTGCACTGCACTGCAATACAGGCGCCGGCACGGGCCGGCACTGCACTGGCAGTGGCTGGCCGTCAACCTGAGGCGGCAAAGTCCTCCGCCAGTCCTCCAAGGCCGGGCTGGGCCAGGGCGGGGTGCCTTTATCGGGAACATACCGCCCTTTCTAATCTTGCCCATTTACATTTTCACACTGTGCGACGGCTTAATCGGCGTCGTCGGCCCCGCGGGGGTGGGAGAGAGAGAGAGAGAGAGAGAGAGAGAGAGAGAGAGAGAGAGAGAGAGAGAGAGAGAGAGAGAGAGAGAGAGAGAAAGAAAGAAAGAAAGAAAGAGGGGGGGGGGGTCAGGATGGATGGGCACGGCGCACGCGGCGGCGGGTACCGCGGTGTGAATGCGCCGAAAGCAGGCCGCGGACAAACACAAAGATAGGCTACGAAAGAAAAAAGAGACGTCGCAAGTCACGGGTTCGAATCCCACCGCCGCCCGAGACTTTTTCGTGTTTTTGGGCGCGAAAAAGAAACTTTTTGCCCTGGATGGAATGGAAGGTTTTGTTTAGAGTGTATAAAGGTATCATCTGCACTAAAAAATTCAAGGCTAAACGATTATTGGCAGAACAGGGCGGCGGCGACACGGCGGCGGCAGCACGCCGCTTAGCCTATTCGCAGGGCCCGTCACGGCGGTTCCGCTCGCCTCGGGCACGACGAGGACGACGACGACGCGGTACCTACACTACAACGACACGACTCGGATCGCTATCGGGACTCCGGCCTCCCAAACTCGATTATTCAGCAGCGGGAAGGTAAGTCCGCGCGTCGCGCGGGACGTTGTAGGGACGTGCCGCGAGCAGCCAGCTTCCCCCGCTAGCGGCATTCGCCGCCGCGGCGCGGCACGGCACGGCACGGCGCGCTCGGCTATGCAAATCATAAGACACGCGGAAACTAAAGCCATTAATCCCGAAAGGAGGCAATGCATACGATAAGACCTGAGCGGGCAGGCTCGCTCACACACACACACAAGGTGGCGTACGTGCGCGAGCAATAAGGTAGGCAAATGCGACGCACAAATACATAAAGCAACATCTGGAACCGCACGCATCGCGCGACGCGCAGCGCGGCGCGAACTTCCAAAGAGGCATTTATAAGAAAGCCCGGCGCCGCTGTGCCGCCGGCTTGGTGTCGCGCAGCCGCCCCAGGCGGCAGGGAGAGCGAGAGAGAGAGACAGTCACAACGCGTCCCCACAAGTACATCGCGCGTCTCAAACGGAATTTATACGGTGCAAAAGTTAGCGCAATAACGCGCGTTTTTGATCCAGGGCGACCCTTTCCATCGCAGGTTCGAGATGACTTCGAGACATCGCGCTCAGCCAGGCGGCGACGCCAAACGACTTTTGCAGCCGAATTACCTCACGGAAAAACAGGAAAAGCGAAAACAAAAACAGGGCCGGGCTAATCCGCGTCCCTATCCGGGCCGTCAAAGTTCATTAAAAATTGAGCAGCGCGCTCAAACTCGGGGCCGGGAGAGCGGGCAAGGGGCTGCCGAGCCGTGCCGTGCCACCCAGGGCCCTGCCATGCCCTGCCCTGCCGGGCGACTGAAACAAAGCACCTCGGTTCGAATGGGATGGCTCCGTGGGGCCCAGTAGGGCCCTCGGCGGGGCGGCCCACCACGCCCTGGCCAGGCACGCCCCGAGAGGCCGCCCGCTTGTCGTCACGGGGCGGGGCGTGGCGGGGCGGCCACCCCTCACGGCGCCCCGCCACGCCCCGCACGCATGCGCCAGGCCGTTCGCCGCCGACAACAAGAAGGGCTGGATCTCCTTCACGGCCAGTTGCGCCCTCGCCTCATCATGATGCACCTCCCTGCAGTGGCGCGGCAGTGGAGGCCCCTGCACCTCCCCGTCGTGCCCGTCGCGGGGGAGGCTCCGCGGCGCCCCAATCCACCTCAAAACAACGGAGCGAAAAATGACTGTCTGCTGCCTCCCCTGCTCGGCACCAGCCAGCCCCTCGGCAGCCGCGCGCCGCGCCGCCGCCAGACCGCCGGGGGCTCAGCGCGCCGCCCCGCGGCAAACTCACCCCTAGCGCTAGGCGCACAGTGAGCCAGAAGACCGGTGGAGGCGGCCGAAACTCCAGACGCGTTTTGAGCTCCAGAGTCGCTAAACAGGGCTCGAACCGATCGTGTGACCCCACCAATGGATTCCTCGTGCGGAGAGCAATCCATTGGTGGGGTCACACGCCCGGTTCGAATCCCATTTAGCGACTCTGGAGCTCAAAACGCGTCTAGAGTTTTGGCCGCCTGCGCGGATCTTCTGGCCCACTGTGCGGCGGGGAGCGAGCGCAGCATCGCCGCGCGGTGGCAGTGTGCCGGTCTGCAGCCTGCACAGCAGCCGGCTAGGCCACCCGCCGAACGGGCGAGCGCGCGCCGGCCGAGGGCTGCCTACCCCGCACGGCGCTCGGCCTGCCTTCAACTTGCCCAGCCTGCCGCTTGCGCCCCCGCCCGGTGAAGCAGCGTCTGTCTCTCTCGCACCCACAAGGAGCACTCCGCGAGTGCGAGAGAGACAGAGCGACGAAAGCGCTCTTCGGAATCGCCCGGCTGCGGGCTTTTATCTTCCGGCGGAAACGCATTACGGGCTGCAGGGCCCCGACAGTCACTTGGGGCGGGGCGGGGCGGGGCGGGGCGGGGCGGGGCGGGGCGCCCGGAGCCTCATCCGCCCCAACACCATCGCCGCCACCGCCCCTGATTCAATAGTCCCTCAGATTGTACAACCAGTGTGCCGCCTCGGAACAGCCGCTCTGAGGCTCTCTCTCGCACTCGCGGGGCGCCCCGTGGGGGTGCGAGAGAGACAGACGACGGCCAGGTCGGACTCCAGAGCGCCGCGCACGCGTTATTGGCACAGCCATCACGCCAATAATTGGCGAACGGATGCGGTGGGAACTGTTTGCCAAAAAGGCGAAGTGCCTTGCTGCCTCGGTCGCCCCATTTCCCACTGCACTCCTCCTCCTTCTTCTTTTTCGCGCCGCCGGCCCGAACCCACACTGGAATGCGGCGGCACACTGCAGGCCGCGCTCTCTCGCTGCTCGATTTCTGTCTGCAGCGAATAATTTGACCGGCCAGAGCGGCGGTGCGCGGCCACTGGAAACAGCCCGCGGGAAAAACGCCTCACAGGGTAAGACTGCGGGCAACGGCGGCCTCCACTTTTAACCAGCAGCCGCTCGGAAGCCAACAAGAGGGTGCGGAGGACTCGGTTACAGGACGAGGTTGGTACACAACGCGGGCCGGGCCGGGGGCGGCGGACAACATCAAAGGCTTTGACGGCAACTACAGTTTCCGTTCGCGGAGAATAATTTGGTTACGCGCAGCCTGGGGGAAAGGGGGGCGGTGAAGGTAAAGGACCTTACTGCCGGAGTGCGACCGCCAACACCCTTGCCGACGACGACCGGGCATCGCCACCAACACTTCCAATATTCGCTGCCAATCTTGGAGAAAATCAACAATAACGCTAACAGAGGCGCGCACGCACACACAGACACACACACGCACACAGAAAATTGACGAGGCGAGTCAAAGTCAGGCGGTCTGACGGGGCGCCTTGGGGACCGGGGCGCGCGGGGCGCGTGGATGCAAGTGCCGCACGACGCCGGGTCCCCGCCCTACGCCATCCAGGCGGCTGCTACCGTCGCTCTGCCTCTCTCTCTCTCGCACCCTCAAGGGGCGCCCCGCGAGAGCGAGAGAGAGAGGCGGAGAGGTGGGAGTGGGAGGCCAGGAGGTAATGGCGAGGGAGGGCCACGGCGGAGAGGGGAGCAGTCCGCCACAATACCCGTCACGTGCATCCCCGGCCTCGCCGAGCTCCCCGCCGTCCTCGTCGGCGGCCTCCCCTTCCTGGCCGAGGCCGAGGTTGCAGCGCGGCGGACTGATTCCGAGAGTCGTTTTCGTCGCTCTGTCTCTCTCGCACTCGTGCGGCGCCCCGTGTAGGTGCGAGAGAGACAGAGCGACGAAAGCGACTCTCGGAATCAGTCCGCTGGCTAATGCTGCTGCAAGGGGTAGGCCAGAGGGCCGGGCCGCGGAGCCGGGACGCAAATTGGCCAAACAAGGCAACACAGTTTCCTCGCTAAGAGCCTGCCCGCCTGCCAGCTCGCCAGCTCGCCAGCCCGCCCCGCAAATGCACTGCAACCATCTGCTTCCGCGAGACTTATCGTTTCCCTCCCGAGGTCCACAGGGGACTGGTTCCGGAAGGCCTTCCCGTCGCTCTGTCTCTCTCGCACCAGTACGGTGCGGCCCACGAGAGCGAGAGAGAGTCCTCGCGTTCGGAAGGAATCAGTCCGCAGGGGGCGTCTCAAAGCCTCAAAGCGCAGGAAAGCGGCAAGGTATCGGATTCCGTCGGCTTATCGAGAGTTCGGCAGGGAGCACAGTGGGCCAGAAGACCGGTGGAGGCGTCGTTTGGTGAGCGAAAAGCCAACCAGGCAAGGCACGGCCCGGCGTAACTTAACTTGGGGCAAAAAGCACAAGGGCCACGCACAACGAAGACAGATCGTTTCCGCCCAGCCAGAGCGAAGAGAATTAAGGAGGGTGGAAAAAAGGGAAATTACGGTGAAGCGTGCTTGCTGCCGCCGGGATGATGGCAAGAGCAACATTGCCTGCTGCCCGCTGTCCGCGAGGGCGTGGACGCTGCTCGCCAGACAACGAACGGGCAGGGCTGCCAAAAAGACTTCCAGTCTTACCTTGGCGAGGTCGGTCTTCTCCTCGGACCGGTCGTCGTCGTCGTCGTCGTCCTCCGGGGGCTGCGTCTGCTGGGCGCGCGACACGGTGCCGGCGCTACTCCCCGTCCGCCGGTGGCCGGGCTGGCCGTGCTGGCCGTGCGGGGGTATCGGCGGCGCCTGGTGCGGGTGGAGCGCGCCGTGCGGGGGTGGCGACGTCGGCGACGCGGGCTTCTCGTCGGCGCCGACGGCCGCGCCATCTAGCGGGGGGCGGATGAACTCGATGCGTCCGCCCTCCACGCAGATGTTGGGCGCCAGGGGGTAGGCCGGCGGCAGTGGCGGGGGCGGCCCGGCCGGGGGCGGGATGGAGAGGTAGGGCGGCGCTGGGGGCGGCGCGGCGTGTGGCGGCAGCGGGGGCGGAGGCGGCAGGGGGGCGGCGGCGTGGAGGTGGTGGCCGTGGTGGTGCAGCAGGGCGTCGTGCTCCGCCTCGTACGCCAGCAGCTGCGCCTTCTCGCCGTACACGGGGTGGATTTGCCTGCAACCAACGCGCGGAGTAGTGTCACCACACTGCCGATACCCCGCGCAGCGCCGCGACGACACCGCGACCTCGACCGCGAGCACGACAAGCACTCTATTATGGACATTGGTTCCGCGGGAATGCGGGCAGAGAAGTCGTCCGCATCGGTCTGTCTCTCGCGCTCGAGAGGAGACACTCTCAGGGCTGCGGGCGAGACAGTTACCAGGGCCACTCTGCTGGGGCAGGACGTACAGTGGGCCAGAAGACCGGCGCAGGCGGCAAAACCTCTAGACGCGTTTTGAGCTCCAGAGTCGCTAAAAAGGACTCGAACTGAACGTGTGACCCCACCCCTGATTCTAGATGACCCGACCCACCTTGCCGACGGCACGGCTCGGACCTCCACGCTGGCCGCCGCCTCCACAATTCGGCCATTTTGGTTGTTGTTGTTGAGGTGGTGGCTGTTGCTGCTTGTCGCCCTGCGCAAACAAACAAAAACAAAACGGGTCAGCGTTGTGATTTCATGCGCAAGAGCCACTGCTAGAAATGGCCGTCCAAAGTTCCTATTAGTCGGAACGGCCGAGTATGGTTTAGTGACTAGATTTTCGTACAGCAGATGCAATTGATTTTCACGTCAGTGAGGAAGAGGCCGATCATTCATTCATGCCCCCTCCCCCCCCCTCCCCACTCCACTCCAACCCACCCCACCGTACCCCGGCAGCGACACCGTAAGGACTCCGAAATGCCACCATTGAACCGACGGGCTGGACGAGCACCGATAACTCCGTCTCTCTCGCACCCCTTCGGGGTGCCCCATCCATGATTGCGAGCGACAGAGACAGGGAATCGGCCTGGCCGGTCTGCAGTCTGCAGTGCAGGTGACGGCCCACGGCCCTTCGTGGCCCTTCGGCGCGTGACGGGCTGTATCGACCAGCCAAGGGCCGGCGAGGGCCCACAAGGGCAGGGCCAGGGCAGGGCGCTGCGGGTCGGCGTAGGAGCCCCAGTTGGGTTGGGAGGCACAAACCATTAATAAGTCTGCTGTATTTGAGACAGACAGACAGACATGCATACAGACAGACAGACATACAAACAGACAGACAGACTCTCGCGCTTGGTCGCGGCCTGACGACATTTACAGGTACTGCACGTTGCCCCCCTCTTCCTCTCCATTTTATATCCCCCCTCTCCCCCCCGGCCCCCCCGCCCCCCAGGCTGACCAGTCCATTCCCGTAATGATGTCTTGCCCTCGCGGTGCCGCGGTGCATCGGACAGCAGCAGGAGACTGATTCCGAGAGTCGTTCTCGTCGCTCTGTCTCTCTCGCACTCATAGGGCGTTCCTATGGGTGCGAGAGAGACAGAGCGACGAAAACGTCTCTCGGCGTCACTTTGATGCTACAGCAGAAGCAGCAGCAGCAGCAGGAGGTCGGAGCGGCCGGACAGCAACCAAAGGAACAAAACAACAAGAGTAAAAAGAAGGTCTGAAATAATAAAACGGAACGAAAGGGGGAAAGGGGGGGGGGGAATAAAACGGACGCGACTGCCGCCGTCGGCTGCTGCACGCTGCTGCACCGTCAGGCCCTTGCCCTTCGCCGGCCGCGGGCCTCGGAGGCTCCCTCCGAAAGGTAACCGAAAGGCCGCTCTGTCTCCGTCGCACTCACGGCCCACGTCCCGCGAGGGAGCGAGAGAGACAGAGCGCGACTGACTCCTCGGAACGGCTCGGGCGCTGCCAAGGTGTGCCGCCGGCACTCCGTGGGGCGGCCGGGACGGAGAGCGCCGCACAGTGGGCCAGAAGACCGGTGGAGGCGGCCAACACTCTAGACGCGATTTGAGCTCCAGAGTCGCTAAACAGGCCTCGAACCAAACGTGTGACCCCACCAATGGATTGCTCTCCGAACGAGGAATCCATTGGTGGGGTCACACGTGCGGTTTGAGTCACATTTAGTAAATCTGGAGCTCAGGAAGCGTCTAGAATTTTGTCCGCGGCCACCGGTCTTCTGGCCCACTGTGCGGCGCGAGCTTGGCGCGGACCAGCAGACAGACAATCGTCCGTATTTGTATCACGGCACCAAGGAGGGCGAGGCGAGGCGGGGAGAGAGATACAGCTCAACAATGCACACAGGTTTGTTTGGCCGGCCAAAGCCTTTCTCTTCTTGTCAGCCAATGACCCCCGCCGTGTCGGACTCCGTCGTGCCACGGCGTGCCGTGCCGTGCTGCGCCGTGCCGTGCCACGGCGTGCTGCACCTCCTCGCGGACCCGTTCGGCGCGATGCTGCGCGCTGCGCCCCACCGCTCGGCCGCGCCGCTATCTGCAGCACTTGCCAGCACACTGCGCGCTTGCCACCTATTGTGGCCACGCACTTGACAAGATACTGAGCGCCCGAGCGCTACACTGCCAAGTGCAGGACACTTGCAGGCGTAGATCGCAATGCACAGTGGGCCAGAAGGCCGAGCTTAGCTCTGAGAACGGACTCGGGGAGTGCTGCAAACCGATCCACGGTCCTGGAGGTAGAGGACCCCAGCCTCCCCCGAGGTCGAGTCGAGAAGTCGAACCGATAGCCGATCAATCGAGTGAGACTAAAAGACGAGGCACGGCAACAAGGCGGCAACACGATACCACGGCGGCTAAGTCTTGCAGCGCGGCCGGTGCGGTGCGGCCCGTGGGGCCCCGCGGCCAAATTCGAACGGCGTCCACGGCACGCCGACGTCGTTCCCATCGCTCCGTCTCTCTCGCACTCACGGGGCGTTCCGTGTGGGTGCGAGAGAGACGGAGCGATGAGAACGACTCTCGGAATCAGTTTGCTGCAGTGCCGATGCGAGATAGGGTCCGTGGCGTGGCGTGGCGCACGATCAGCATCCTCCCCACGCGATCCCTTTTCGCCTGTCCGTCCTGCAGCGGCGGGGCGATGCGGCAAAGTGCAGCGCACAGTGCACCGCACGCTCGTCGCCCCGCCGGAGAGCAGCACAGTGGGCCAGAAGACCGGTGGAGGTGGCCGAAACTCCAGACGCGTTTTGAGCTCCAGTGTCGCTAAACGAGTCTCGAGCCGAATGTGTGACCCCACCAATGGATTCCGCGTCCGGAGAGCAATCCATTGCTGGAGTCACACGTTTCGGTTCGAGTGCCATTTAGCGACATTTGGCCGCCTCCACCGGTCTTCTGGCCCACTGTGCACTCGCGGAGCGGCGGCGGCGTCGCGTGAAATGGCGCGGGAAATTCGAAATTGCAGCACGGCGGCGCGAGGAGATATCAGAAATCGGGAGACGAGGACGAGGACAAGACCCCCCAAGGCAGCAGCGAAGTCTCGGCCGATCACGACGCCACGCCTCGACTCGCGGCGGCAAATTGCATTTTCTCATTCTCTCCGCCTCGCGCCGCGCCGCGCGCACACTTCCGGCGGCCGGGGGACTTCCAGTGGCGCGGGCCAAAGGGCCGAGCCAAAGGGCCGAGCCAAAGGGCCGAGCCAAAGGGCCGAGCCGAGTTCACGACACTGTGAACACGCGGCCGCTGAAAAGTCGAACAAAATTACGGACTGGAAGTTGCGTTCAGTATTTGTCGGGGGACGTGTGGTAACCGTTTCGAAAACGCGGTTCGTTGTGACGGGGCCGTCACGTCGCGTTGACGCCGCGTCACACCTCGTCACACCTCGTCACGACGACGCAGCCGTTGCGTCACACCTGGGCGTCGTCTGGCCGCCACCGCCAATTGCTCCATTTAGCGGCGCCGCGAACCGAGCAGACGTCCCTCTCGCTCCCTCTCCAGCCAAACCTCCGGCAGTCTCTCTTTTTCTGACTCGTTCCGAAGAACTCTTCGCGGACTGACGCGTGACAAATGATAATCTATATCACCCCCTCCCCCCCCCCCCAGCAACAACTGCATCTGTCTCTCTCCCACTCACGGGGCGTACCTTGAGGGTGCGAGAGAGACAGAGCGACAGTTTGGAAGCGGACCGCTGCAAATGATGCACCTGCAGCAGCCAGTGAGTCACGCGGAGTCACGCTGCGTCGGAGTGCAGCACACTGGAGCGCCGGAGCTGGAGTCGACACTGCACTGCAAGGTCCTTGCTCTAATAACACAGTGCAGCGACCCGGCGCAACACGCAGTGAGCTGCGGTGCGCAGCCCTGCCACCGACGTCCTCGTCCAGTCCTTCTTCCTTTCATTTCTCTGTCTCTCTCTCTCTCTCTCTCTCTCTCTCTCTCTCTCTCTCTCTCTCTCTCTCTCTCTCTCTCTCTCTCTCTCTCTCTCTCTCCCTCTCTCTCTCTCATCTGCGTCTCCGTGAGGCCGCTCATTTATTTCAATTTTCTTCGTTTCCTTTTTCCAAAGTGCTGCAGTCGGTGGCTTCCCTAATCACAGCGGCGAGGACGGGAAAGAGAAAAAACGACAACAACAACAAAAAAAGGGCCGCGGGACGGTGTCTGACTCCCCACTTTTGTTTTTAATAATCTCCTAGGTGCGTGAACCCATTTGCGTTGCAATGACCCAACCTCAACTACCGACCGACGCCCGTACCCCGACCACAGACCCGGACCACCGCGTCACCATGGCTTCAAGAGGTCGATTCCATGACGCTCTGTCTCTCTCGCACCCCTACGGACAACGCACCATGAGTGCGAGAGAGACAGGGCGACATTGCTCTGAATCACCCTGCTGCGAGCTCGCGGCTCGCTATCGCTGTCTGGATGGACTGATAGCGCGTATCGCCAGCGCATTGAGCAGGTATGGATTCTCCTGGTAGGCGCGCGCGCCCCGCCCCGCCCCGCCCCACCCCGCCTCGCCCCGCCAGGCAGTCGGGGCCGCGGGACGAAAATAAGGAAACGTGACAGTGTGCCGTCGGCACGCATAGGCAGGAACCGTAACAAAATGATGATGACAGAGGGAACAATCGGGGCAGCATCCCCCCACCACACACACACACACACACACACACACCACACACACACACAGCCGACACGTGGAGTCCACGTGGGATTCGCGTGGCGCGGGGAGGGAAGGACAATGCAGGCGAGGCGGGGTCACCGCGAGTCAACACAGAGAAGTGCTCGGATAGATTCTAGGGAAGGAAGGAGAAAGAAAGGACTCTACTATTAGGGAAACTAAGCGAGTCAAGTCCCGCTCCATGATCATTTTTAAGACCAACTTTAAATTTTTGGGGGGTTTTATTTTTGGCCATGCGGCGGTCTGAAATGGGCCCTGTGCCGTCGCGTGGGCGGTGTGTGGCGTGTGGGTGGCGCGAGCACACTGTACCGAGTGTACGCGTTTCACTTTCGCCGCGGTGGGGTATCGCGGTGGGTACTGGGTGCCCGGCCAGCCGATAGAGTGTGGTGGGCCGGTGGGCCGGCACGCAGCAAGAAAGGCTTTCTGCGGTTCGGTTTCGCCGTTTCTGTTTCACAAGGCCGATTCCCACGCAGTGATACGGACAGGCGTGGCGGCGAACCAAAGGCCGAATGGGGACGCCGGATACGCACCAATGGAGAGCCCTGCATC